TTCACATAAATGGAAATATCAATAAATAGAACATGCATATCAGAGGCGCTGATGATCCTCATGCTTTGCATCTGAAAAATGCAGTGTGGGAGACGCTATTTCATCAGATGGAATCTTCTCACAGATCTTCCTGGATGACATAAGTAATGCCACACGCTACTTGCAGATCTTTCAAAGCTATTTTGTTCAGACTTTTTGAGCCATGGAAAAACATTTTCGCAACAAGATAGGGCAAGACTTCATATAGCAAATGTGATTTTAGACATTTGAATGAATATTTTCATTATATGGTTAACTCTGACAAATATCCTGGATGATATGGACTTGGATAAACCTGTCCAAAGTACTCACCACAACTGAATATCTGATTTTTTCTTCAGGATTCCAGAAGGGCGGGAAAAAAATTGTTCTCAGACTGATATCACACCCACTGCGTTATCGGAATATTACATTAAGAATAAATCAGTTAATAATGAAACAAATACATACACAACCAAAATCCATGTATTTCTTCTCCATAGTTTTCCAAGTCACTACGTACCTCTATTTTCTGAAGAAATTCAATGCAGTTTCTGATATCGAAACACAATGGCATCAGATGCCGCCTCGAAAAGGATGAGACGCATGCGTGGCAACAAGTCATATTCTCTGAGGTCGTAAACCAGGATGGCCAACGAGAGAAAACCAATTCATTATGCAGGTAATTATGTGACGTTTACAGATGTTTCTTGTGTCATGGAATAAGCCTATACAGCCAATTGAATGAATTCCTGTAAAATTAGAAGGAAAAAATTTATATCAAAATTCGAGAAAATGAAATAAAAGTATTTCACTAGTGCCAAAAGCAATGAAAAAATGCTATTCCATTGCTTAAAACATAACAAAAATTGTATTTGAAAAATATAATAACAATTAAAATACGGAAATGTCTCTAGAATATGATCTGCTTACACCAGAAAGTGAACGAATTCAATTTCTTACGTAAAAAATACATCTAATTATTTCTTCACATTAGGAAGAGAAGTTATGGTTCGCAGTAAAGTTACACAAAAATGGGGAATCGCAAATAATGATGATCACACTGTACTGATATATATTGTTCCAGTGAATGGTCGGTGAATTGAATGTGTGAAAAGTTATGAACAAGAAGAACCATAAAGGTGTTAAATTACATACAACATACCCTTCCACAGTTGTTAGGAATTTTGACACACTCTTTGAAAACCTGAACGTCGCAAGCATGGACAACTCTCGAAGAAGATAACTTGGTTTATTAGCCTTCTGGGTCATCTTCATGAGCGACGTTATGTTGTACTCACTGATTTAATGAGTATAACCTCACTTTGAGGCTTGATGCAGTCAAAATTAACTCGCCTTACAAACCGATATTTATCAACCCTGTATCAGTACAAAGAGCTTCGGCCCAAATATTAAACTGCTTTTAAAAATACATTTCCCCGTTGAACTTTTTTTAATAACATATTTCTTCACTATGCAATGTCTATCGGTAATCTATCTAGATGCAAAATACATCCGAGCAGTGTGTAATTTTTTTCGCTACATGAACAGGTTACATGCATGCACATTTATTTATTGCAATCGTATTTTGGTGATCATTACAGTAACGGCCACTTTGTAGTACGGATGAATGTGCGCGGCTTGTAATTAGTAATGGTAAAAATTATAAACTTAGCACTTAAGGGACCCATTCTTGAGCTCGCCGCGGGCCCCAACATCTCCATTCCGCTCTGTCGCGTGTTCTGGTCGTCCTTCGTATGATGGTTTGTTTGTCATCAGTCTTCCGACTGGTTTGATGCGGTCCTCCATTGTCTCCTATCTTGCGCAAATCTCTTCATTTTCACATTTTTTTACATCCTCAAAAACTGCGTCACATATTCCAATCTTTGTCTCCCCCTAC